TTTGTCAATATCGGAACTAGTGACGATGCATTTGCAAATAAGAATACTCCTGTGGATTTCGCTAGTCCGGTCAGTTTTTTGAAACAGAATGTCCTTCACGAGTTAAGAATAAGGAACCCACTATTGAAGATTCTTTCCGTCGACAAGAAAACTATAATTGGTTAGATTAGCGTAAAAGTACAATCCAATGGATGGATTTTAAAGAAAACCCCTCTTTTATACGTCAGGACAAGGAAAAACATTCTAGGGAATGACAGTCTACCAAACATTTGAATAGCGATCTCTCAAAAACAAGGGGCCCCTATCCAGTCAACAACGTTTCCTTTCCAGATAATTCAAAGTCAAACATTTACTCGAACAGAACTTTAAACCTGTTCAAACAATTCAATTTTCTTTAGCAGAATAGGGAGAAGACCCAGAAAACCCTATCGGATATAGCAGAAAACCCCATCAGAAAAGAAGACCACACCTTTTGATTCACCTTTTAAGCCAGTTCAACTCAAAAGTAGGAGAGTTATCATCCATTTACTAGAGAGCGTATAAACTGAATTCAAAAGAATCGAGAAAGAAGGACAAATCGTCAATTTAGATAAATGTGACGAAGACTGTTTTATAAGTCTTATAGCGATCACCAGGAAGAAAGACTCTGTGATAAAATTAGCTCATGACTCTAAATTTGTAAGCGATCAAGTATTTAGGATTAAATACCAATTGCCGAATGTTCACGAATTTGTCGATAACATCGTTTTACAGCTCTCAAAGAAATAGCAGGCGAAGTTGGATTTAGTATTCTTGATCTAAGAAACGCCTACAATCAACTAAATCTATGCGATTATACGAGCCAGCAAGGTAGTTTCAGTTCATTGGGTGGTGAAACCACTGAACTTATCGTTTTGTAACTGGTTTTCACGAGTTCATGAATTTAAAATCGTATCTGACCATATAGCCCTATTTTCCGCGCTAAATGCTATTCAATGTAAAAAAAACTATGCAATGTAGATTGAGACATTTGGGAAACAGATTATTGCCGATGAATTTCAAAATTAAACATATCACAGGAAAAGAAATGGGATTTACTGACTAACTATCAAGATTTCCCTCCGGCAAAACCCCCTTAGCCTCCCATTACGACAAAAAGTTGGCGGTTGCAACAATCAACCAGATAACAGACAATTTAGTAGTAAAATTCGTTGCAAGAAGAAGAGTTGTATATGGAACGATTTTTTGATAAGTAACCCAGTGGTTGAACACAGTCTAAATAGTATAAGTATCTAAACAATATAATCCCAACGGTCGGAAGGAATGAAAAACTCTTGCACATCTAACGGTCGTTCTTTGCGATTCCTCTAAATTACTTAACAGACACAATTTCTTTTTGGAGTTCCAGCCACTTGCATTCAGAGCCTTGTACAAGCAGTTGCATTTCCCTAGATATTTCAATTTTTATCAAGTTCTCTTACAATATAAATGCCACTTTTCCTTAGTTTTGTTCCAATCTTATCACTTACACTACCGATTTGAAACACGAAGAAAAGTTTAGTCAGTTTCATTTCAGTCATCTACTAATTCTGAAAAAGTGTCAGTTATTCCAGAAAACCAAGGTAGTTCTTAAGAGTTTGAAAAACGACTTAATGTCTCAAGTCCACTTGATTTTACCTAACAAACTGAAGAGAGACTTGAAAAAACCATCATTTGCATTAGAATTTACGGAACACTGTTCCAACAGTCTTATTCATTTGTTGAGATAGGAGGTCAAAATTTAGTTGGAAGTCAGAGCAGAGGTGGAAACTGCAAACATTTGACAAGTTTGGTGCGTACTTGAAGGCTTTCCAACGGGACATATACATTGAAGTCGGACTTCTAATCAATTACAACAAACTGATTGACCCAGCAGCGCTCAGATCGCCTTTCATGAGCATCTTCCACAACTCACGCCCTAGACAATTAGGCGTGAAAGCTTTGGTCGAAAAAATCTTGTGGCCCTGTTTTATCATCATGTTTAAACTGCTCGCAATGCATTAAAATCGGCAGAAACTTAAAAGTCATTTATAGAAAAACCAACTCGCGAAAATATCCCGAATTGAAAGAGCCTAATGAAGAAATAAACCTGGACTTCGCTGGTTCATTGGATAAGACTGGAGCACATCGAAATAAATATTATTATGCATCAATAGATATACAAAATTTCCCTCAGCGAAAAATGTAAATAACACGTCGACACTAACTACACTTTCTTGATTAACTGATTACTAAAATCTTCACCGATACTTGAAATCGATTAGAGTAGACCGCGGGTAACGTTTAAAATCAGACGATTTTGAAATTTTTACGAAAAAAAAATAAATTTAACCCAGTTTTGTGTACAGTGGGCGGTCATAGATCCAACAGAGTCGTAGAACGTTTGATTTACACAGTAAAAATGAAACTTTTGGAAAATTCCTTCAACGAACCTGAACCAACTTTAAGTTCTGCGATAAATAAAATCATCTGGAATCTTCAAACAATGAAACAACCATCCATTGAAGGCACGCCTTTCAATAAACATTAAATAGTTCCCTAATACATTTTGGAAAAGCCGCGGCTCACACGCAATTGATTTATATAGAGGGAAGTTGATCATGTCGATTGCAAGAGCCCAAAACTGCGGTGAAAATGACGATACAGTAGACGGATAGATACAGCAGTCAAAACCAGACAAGAAAAGTTATGAAAGTGACCCAACGGAGAAAGCAAACCCGTGAAATCAAGGGCCCCGCTGTCGAACCCCTTCGCCCAAGGAGCTAACTGGCTTAGGAAGTCGGTTAATCGAAAAAGGCCATCCTTATATTAAACCACTTAGTGGGAAAATTGTAGCTGACTCTAAACACACGATAACCTTAGATAACAGTCACCTTCTCAGAAAATCCGATCTTGCCTTAGAGAGAAAATTTCAGTGGCTCCGAAAAAGATCTCGTTAGCAAAGCTAATAATTTAGTTAAAACTGATGATTTAGCAGGAAAAAGAACGAGAAATTCTCCTTATATCAGACTGGATTCGAGCATCTCTGGACCGTCTCCATCTAGAAGACCCATGGTCTCCGCCTCATTGAAGAGGCGAAAAACTATTGCCACAACGTCCAAAGACTTCCTTTGTCTTACTTCTGAATCGGCGTCGACTTTAGACTAATACTATTGGGACAACGTTTTGAATGATTATTTGGGCACGGCTTCCGGTGTTAAGTCAGATTCTCAACCTTTCATTTGTGAAAGTACTTTATATTCATCGAGACCCCAAAACACTGACGACCATGCATCCACTGAAACCGGCACCAGCCTCTGCGCATGGCTGAGGCCCGGTCCGGTTGCTGGTCCTAAAAATGTGGCGCAACCCGGTTCCTCATCTGGTCGTCTGTACTCTTCGATCCGGGCTGTTGCGTTTTTTATTTCTCGAAGTGAAAATAACTATAAAGTAGTGTCTCATTCAGAAAGAAAAAAGTTTGTTTTTTTAATGAAATTTTACGGAACCAAACACAAGTTTCTCTAATTTCATAATTTTTGTTTTTTTTTTTCGTTTTTTCTTCTCTTAATAAGTTACAATGTATTTTTTTAAAACTATAACCTTATTGTACTGGTTATTTAAAATTTCTTACAATCTAATTTTGAAACAACATTTTTTCGGAACCAGTTTTTGTCATTTTCATATCTTCAGAGGTTTGATTTTTTCCTTGTTTTTTTTCTTAACTTCCCCCTCATAGGGAAACTCATCAGAAACCTTCAACTTTTTGCCGAAAAAAGAGTCAAAAGATTTTAAAAACTTTTAATCATCGCAAATTCCCAGAATTTGAGATCTTCCAAAAATCATCGTCTTTTGATAGGCTCCAAAAGACTGGCTGCTTATCGTTTTGATGTATTTTTCCAAGGCAGGACGAAACAACCAACCGCATACCTGGCGGCAAACATTCTTTTGATATCCAGTAAAATAGTATGAAATAGGTATTCGATTCAATCCAAGGAATCTGACCCTAAAAATAAACAACATAATGAATATTTTAAAAGTTGGAAAAGTGAAAACATTTTTAGTCCTAATGAAAAACAATCAGTCGATATCAGACGCTAAAGTTTGTGGCATTTTTAGGTATAAGTGTTTCCCCATTGTGACTTGTGAACAAATTAAAATTTAGAAGAGAGTTCATTTTGTTTACTCCTAATTTTGAAAAAACAACTAAGACATTATTAAAATGTGAATCATGAAGAACTAGATTTTTTTTTGATTTCAGAAATGTGTTTTAGCTCAACGGTAAAGTACGGACGCTTGGAAATGTAAGTATTGGTAGTTTTGGCAAATAAGACCACTTAATATGCCTAACAACTGTTTGGAAATCACTTAAGGTTTACGTGACATTGCGTTAAAACTTTTATTTTTAATCTTAGTTTACCATACGACCTAATTGATATCAGGATAGAAAACAACACTGAAAGCCTCATTTTCGAAGTTTTTAATTGGAATGAGACCCCATTAATTCCAAAGTTTTTTCCATAGCACTTAACTACATATAAATTTCACAACTATTCGTTATCGTACCGTCGTCTCTTAAATCTAAGTTTCTATTAAGAAATTGAACTTTACACTATATTTCGTTGAACATTTGGCGGTATACTTCAAAGGTTGAGAAGTCAAACTCGCTTCCAAAATCAGCTGAAATTTTTCATTTTCAGGGAGAGACCACTTCACGGAATTAATAGAAAATTTTATTGTAGATTTGTTTTGATATACATCTGACCAGCCGCAAATAAATGTAAACTTTGTGCCATTTGTCGAGAGTCAAATAAACTCACAGGATGCGGCTCATTGTCCGCTCATTGCCTCTTCCAATTTAGAATATTTACTAAAAACATGATCCAACCTGTGCTCAGTTTTATTCTCCGAATTAAAAGAAAAATATATCTAAAAATAGAAATTTACTGCTCCTATTTCCAGATAGTTTCCTTTCCATTTCATTTTTATATTCGCCCCTCAAAATTTAATAACGCACATTTCTTTTAGTTTTTTCTATTTTTTTAAATTACAGCCAACAAGTTTATTCCTATCTCAAGAATGAAAACCAAGACTCGATATTTGGCTCTCATCCTTCTTGCCTCAGTGCTCCTGATGATTTTACAATTTGTGTCATTTTTTCAATTAGAAACAATTGGTGAGTATAAACCACGTCCTTCAGTTTTTAATAAATGCTTCTAACAGATAACCATATATCGGTCATTTCGACTCGTTTCCACTCTCATATTTTGCAATTTCATAGTTGTTTTTAGTGTTCTTATGGCTTAATGCGTGATGTTAAAATGTAAGGTATGAAGAGCAAATCATTTCATTGCAATTTCATTGCAATCGAATCTGACAATATTATTATAGTTTTTCGTACTTGAAAATCAAATGTGGGGGAAAGCAGAAAGAGCCATCATTTCTACTAATCAATTTGAAAAAAAAAAATTAAAAGATGCCGATGCTTTTTTGTCTTTCAGGCTCTCTGGCAAACAACAACAACAACAGCAAAACAATTTAAAAGTTTTATTTTACTGCTAAAAACCAGAAAATAGTTTAGCTTTTAATTGAGTTTTCAAGCACAAAACTTTTCAAAATTCTAAATCAAGTACATTTTCTAAACAGGTCAAGATGATCAGATCACGTCCTGGGGATTGGAACGAACTCGGGCAAGAAGGTAAGCGTATGAAACATGCACACACTTTCTTCAGATTCGCAAACTTCACACAAATAATACAACACGTGAGTCACCGGCGGATTTAGGCGAAACCCCCCCCCCCCCCCCCCCCCCCCCTCAGGGATCCTTTTTCCTTTCCCCCCACCTCACACAATCATCAGTTTTTATGGTCTAAGGAGTGGTTTTACAAGGTTGATAACGAATATCAAATATGTTTGCCATAGCCTAATTAGTCTGCATGTCAATTTTCACGACAATCGGAGAATGTGAACAGTAATTTGAATAATAAAAATTTGCAGGTGGGGGAAAGGAAAAAGAATTCCTTTTTTAGTGTTTTTTTTTAATTTGCCTGCGCCGCAGAAATCTTGTTCAAATTGGGAGATCACTATTGATTCATAGTGATTCTAGATCCACCCCTGATGTGAGACCGAAAACGAAAAAAAAACAAAGGGGGGTTTTCCAGTTAGTGAGTATTTAGTAGCGATACTCTTTTGGCTCTTTTTCCTTTTTTGGAATAATTTGATTTTCCGTCTCGCCATTGTTTTAAAAATTTTAGCCTGTAATAATGGTTTATTTCTGTAACAACATGCTGCTCTGGATCTATGCAATTTTGGTTTTCATAAGACTGATTTGGTTTTACTTATTGACTCTAGTGATATTGCTCCGACCCTTGAAAATGGGGAGGAACTTTGTATTCGGGTGTTTTGTATTTTTCTTTTTTTTTGTTTTCCACGCAAAGTCAGGTACCACAAATAATGACGAAAATGATGCGTTTTCATATTGAAGCGTTTTTTCATATTGAAGCGTTTTTTGGTCGTAATTTGAATGCCATTTTGAATTTTTTTCTCAGTGTTGCGAAAAACCGGTTTTTGATTTTGATCTAGTTTCATACTAATAAGCGAGCGTGCAGGCTTACAATAGCTTATTTATGCTTACTTTAAGCCGTGAAAATTTAGTTTTTCTCGAGTAAAGTTCGTTTTTGGAGCTTCTTCATAGCGCAATTTTGGGAATCAGAAGCATCACAAAAATTTCTGCAAAAAAATTGTTACGACGCGAAATGAGTAACGATGAGTTCTTGAAGTTGGCTATCCCTGACACTGACCCTTGGTGAACACTTTTGTGAGCAAGAAAATTGATAGTCAACACCAAGAATAAGTAGCTTCTGTGGCGGCTGCAATATCCTTGAGAACGATGAGGATATACCAACCCCGCATAGACATTTGTCCTTTCAAGTCACTAACAAAATCTTATCAATTGTTCTGTAAACTAAGAATTCTCTCGGATACGATTGAAAGAATTAGATACGATTTACCGCATTTTTTTTTCAAACGGCATCAGGTATTAATTGAAAACTGTTTCTTATTGTATGGTAAAAACAGTATAAAAATTTTGCTTAACCATTCTATAAACCCAAAAAAAACAAAGCCAAAAAGGAAGCAAATTTTGTAGCTACCACTTTCTTTTTTATCGTTGGTAAGAAGAATGATATTTTGTCGCTTCAGTGTTTGGTGTTTTGATGATTTATTAGAAGAAAAAATCATGTGACTCAACTACGGCCAATCCCCAGAGAAGTAATTAAATTTGAAATGATTTTAATTTTTGTGCTTTTGGGGCGGCTGCACGCAGTAACGAGGGTAAAAAATTGTTTCGCCTCCATTAAGGTTCCAAATTTTTGCTTCGATTACTTCGTTTCAAACACAATTATATAGTAATGCAAGGCTTTAAAAAATTTTGGACAGATTTTTTATTGAAAGAACATTTTTTGTTGTTACTTAAATAATTCACAATGGTAACTGCACTCATTAAATTTTTTTGGTTTGTTTGGTCAGCAGCCGGTTGTTTTTAAGTTTTAGGTTTCAAGAGGTTTTGAGACATCTTTTTTATCACTTCTATCCACCTAAAATTTTAACACATGTTTTTCAAAATTAATAGAAATTCCGCTCCTTTCATTGCCACTTTCATGGCATCTCAGATATAGCTTAGAAAGAAAGTGTGAAAATCCCAATGAAGGAACACGTTCCGAGGTAATTAATATTTAAACAAACGATAATAGTGTTCTTAGTTTCTGCGATGCACAGAAGATCAATGAAGGTTATCATTATGCCTGTCTGTTTCTGTATAGTCTTTCTACTATTTTCAAGGAAACAGAAAAAAGTTTCAACCTTTTCTTTTGAAAAAAAATTTCGACTTTCGATTTTCGAAAAAAAAACTTAACTTTTTATCATTGGCATTTTCTGATAAAAATTACCCAATTTGAGAAAACTGGATGATTAAGTAAAGTTTTTGTTCTTTTTTAACTTCCCGCCCAACATTTCAAGTTTTCTATTTTTTTAGTTGTCTTACGTGCTATTATGGCTGAATGCTTTATTTTACGATGAAAAGCACAAAACAAAATGTGTTCGCAATATTTTGTTTGCTCACCATGCAAGTTTTCTTTACATTTTGACAATGAAATATTCGTTTTTCAAAAGTGTTTTTCATTTATGAAAGAAGAATGGAAAAGAGCCAAAGTTTTTCGTTCCCTGGAAAACTGAAACCTGAATTCCGCTTTTTAAACTATAAATCAATCACATTTTTCTGACTTTTAGACTTTTGCTGTTTTTTTAAATGTTTTTTCTTTAATTTCAAATAATGAAAATAACAATGAGCGAAAATTTTAAATCAATCAAAATAGTGGTATGTTTAGTTTAATTGTTTTCGCGCGTTTAGCCCTTCACGCTTTTTTATGAGGGGTTGAACACCGCTACCATAACAATTTGAGATAATTGAATATTTTTAAACTCCGAGCGTTGAATACATTCAATTCATTTACCATTCCATTTTGCATTGAGGCGCTGGTAGAACGAGAATGTACCTCTTTGTTCCAATCATTTGTTAAATGTGGAAGAACTTTGTATTCGGGTTTCTTTTAGTTTATTTGTTTTTTTTTGGTTTTCCACGCAAAATCAGTTACCATGAATAATAATCGAAATGGATTGAGCTAAATAGCTTACTAGAGCTCTTCCAGTCGTAGTTCGAACATTTTTTGTTTTGAAAAAGTTTTCATTAGGTTGAAAAAAATTTTAAATTTTTTGACTTTTGGTCTATTTTCAAGCTAATAAGGTGAGGCTAAGCTTTTACAAAAGTCTGTTTAAGCTTATTTTTTTCTTGAATAGATTTTTACTCAAGTAAATTAGTTTTTGGAGTTTTTTAGTGCCAATTTGGGAATCAAAAACTTTTACGATTTATTTTTCGTTTTTTTTATAGTCATTTTTCTACAAAAAATGCTTTCCAATTGGCCAATTTTACTATGAATGTTAAATATGCTTTGATTTTTTTGTCGTTCAGATCGTTTCATCACGGCACGCAGAATTTTTTTTTAAATGTAATTTTTTCACGGCTATTATCCGAGGATTCTGTACTTTTTGCACAGTATCCGGCTATCTTTGTTGTATTTTGCATTGGCTGTATAGGGAACAAGCATAAAAATTAAAATCAAAATACTTTTAATTCTAAAAGTTTTTGAAGACAACATCAATTTTTCAACTTTTTGAAAAACAATTGACCAAAGTTTTTTCAGGGGCTTTGAAAGATCACTTCAGTCAAACTGACTGAAATGTTTTATGAAAAAAACTTTGCTTTTATCTTTAAGAAAATAATCTCTTCTACTCTTTATGAAATTGTCAATATTTAATTTTAGGGAATTGTTCAATTGAGGGTCTAAGTTGCAAGTTTTGCCATCTGCGCTTTAAACGCAATTAAACACACTTTAAGTTTTTAAACGCAATTTTCTGAACGCAAGACTTATAATCAGTAATGCAAAGTCAAAGATTTATACCTGCATGATAATTTATTTTCAATTTTCGCATAAAAACTTTGACTCACTCGGTGTTAAAATTTCGCTAAACGTAACTGATTTGTGAAATTTCACGCCGTTAAAAATTTTTCTGGCATATATCCTGGTCTGACTTCCTTAAGCCCAAAATCAACTGTAAGCACTTGAAATCATTAATTGGCACTTAAATTTTAAAAAAATGTTTGGTTTCATTAGTTGTGATCTTTTTATTAAAAATAAACGTTTAAAAGAATTAAGTTCGTTCACTAGTTCAAACTCGTGCAGCATCTTACAAAAGTTGTAGCAACACATATTCGACTAGTTTTTTGTACCTATTGAGCAAGTTCATCCAGATATGTTTGAAATGAAACATTCCAGTGAAAAAAAAATGCAATACATCTGTTTTTACATATTAAATTGTTCTTAATATTGGTTACAATGCGTAATTTCAATCACAATCAACAACAAAATATAAAAGGCGTGTTTTTTTCTCCGACTTTTGAAGAACAAGACTGAGTTTTATCACTGGGCGTGGTTTTTTTCATATAACATCAGCTTTTTAACTAGTAATTTTTGCCATATTTTTTAAAATCAACCGAAAGGTATGGTTGCCTTGGGCTCAACTGTGAAAATATTTCACTTGTAACCTTTCGTAAAATTATAGGGGTTTGAAGATTGCCAATTTAGGACAATAACGAGCGTGCTATTTCGTGTTTTAACGCGTTAGCGGAGATTAAATTTAATCCGGCTTTCAAATTGTTACATATTAGATTGAATTGAGGCAGGCGTATTACTCTAATTGATTTTTTGCGAAATACATAACTTTGTGCCTTACATAGCGTGTGGGCTGGTGGTTTCAAAAAACCTAAAAAAGTTCAACTTAACCAATACGAGGCCAGACTGTGTATTTTGTAGATTGTTAGCGGTTTCCGCAACTAGGATGCTTTTTTTGTTCTTCTTTTGTTTTTTCGTTTTCTTTGATTGTTCCGACAAAGTTTTAACATGTTCAAAAAATTTTCTCTGGAATCCAGGAACATACAGATACAAAGTAATTACCTTTTTTGAAATTTTGATATACTTTTGAAGCAAGTCAGTCGAAACATTTAGGGCTTCGCCCTGATACGAGCAGTCTTGGTACACTAAAATTCAACTGTAGTTTTTCTTGAATAGAATATTTTCTCTAGAATATTTTTTTGCTTAGCTTGATCCTAAAAACTGATTTAAAAAAATTAATAAGCCTCAGTCTTCAAAAAAGTGCGATCATTCGTTCTAATGTTGATACAGCTCAAGAGCATGAGCCGCTGCCTGAAGAATCAAAAGGCATCCGTACGCGAACGCGAAATTCAAACTTCAAGTCGGAGTACGGAATCCATCCTGCCGCATAAACATAAAACACCATCGCAGAAGTTTTATAGCTTTGGTTTTGACTCTATAATCATATAACTTTTTCATAACTTTCACATTAAAAATGATGCCATTTTTTTTATTTTCGGCACCAAAAAAATGGCTGAATTGACTTGAACTCTTAAATTAAAAATGTTTTATCCTATTACAGATCTTGTAATCAAAATGTAATCTAATGATGATCTCAACTAGAATATTTACACATCAACAACTGACACCGCATGATGACCGATATAACATCAAATAATCTGCCTCTTTTAAAACAAATGAGTCATTCTACCAAAGTCATCAAACAAGGAAGTTTAGAAGACATTCCTAAAATAGAAAGTAATTGAAAAGGAAAATAAATTTAAGAAACGTGAAATGAGGAAGAAGTCAGTTTCTGCCATCAAAGGTAAACCATTGAAATGCTTCTGAAGCATGACAACAGGTTAAGGCCTTATTTAGTCTTATGGCGCTCTCTCAAGTGATGTTTTTGTAGATGAACTCCTTATTTCTATTTTTATCTGTGTAATGACCTCGCTTGGAAACTGTTTGTTATGGTTAATTTGAAAAACAGTATCTTCTCTCCTTTAATGTACGGTCGGCAGGGGTGGATTTAGAGGGGGGGAGGGGGCGGACGCTCTATTCTTCTCTGGTATTCGACCCCCCCACCGACTCAAAGGTACTATTTTGGACTATTTTGAGATATATATTTTTGGCTGAAAGAGCCTATTTTTTTTAAAGAGCGCCTTCGGCGCAAATATAAACTAATATTGAGAGGGGAGCGCGCGCCGAAAAACGCATTTTTTTTGGTCAAAATTATCCAAAAAGTGCCCTAAATGCTTTTTTTAGCCTGTTTTTTTCGAAACTTGCCTGCGTCACAGAATACTGGACTAAAGCAGGGTCTTTTTATTGCTATGAGAGAGCTCGGAAAATCAGTTTGGTCAACCTAAAACAAAAAAAAGGTCGACCAATTTTTCGATAATTTTTGAAACTCAACCCCCACCCCCCGCCCTCGAGAAAATACTAAGCTCCGCCCCTGATGGTCGGCCGTGATTTTCACTGCTAATTGACAAGATTCTTTTTTTCGAAAAAAAGGTTGACCAGAAATTAAATCTAATATAATCAATTATAAGGATTATTTAATTTGTTTTTTAGTAGATTATTAATCCATTATAATCGATTACTTTAGGTTTTTATGAATACAGATGATGAAAATCCATGATAAACGATTACTCTCAATGAAACTTCTTTGCGGGTGGCTCAAATCGATTGTTCTGTTTGCTGTCAGTTGATGTAAAAGTACCGTTAAGATTTTAAATAAATCGTGTCAGAAAAGACAATATGATTAAAATATGATAATTTTAGCCTGCAACCAGGGGTTGATCTTGAGTTTTTTAAGATGGTTGAAAATGTTCTACCCAATTGAAAAGTATTTGAGTTGTTGGTATAGTCTCTGGCATACAATTACTGATAACAAAATGCGTTGCGAGCATGTTTAAAGTCATAATTTGTCGTTATCAGTCACTATTACCCGGTTCAAGGCCCGCGACTAATTTTTTGACTCTGATGGTTGCGCCGATGTCAATCATGCGATCGAAAACCCATACTATGGTCAGGGCTATAAGTTGCAGACAAAATTTTGAACTGCAGTATTTCGGTCGCAGTAGTCTGAGAAGTAGCCGCGATAGTCTATAATTTAGTCGCGACATAGTCTAAAAGTTAGTTGCGACATTGTGCAAGAGTTAGTCGCGAAAATGTCTACAAGTTAGTCGCTGTTACGGTTTAGAAAAAATTGCGATGTAGTCTACAATATAATCGAGACATAGTCTAACATAATTTGCGGCATAGTCTAAAAGTTATTCACAAAAAAAACCTTAAAAGGGAATTGAATTGGCTTGAAAATAAGAGGCTTCAAATACTGTATTTCCGTAGCCTAAAAAAGTTTTGATATAGATAGCTAAAGTTGTCGTTCCTGCAATTCGCAGAGGATCTATGAAAGGCTTTGCAGCCTATCTAAGCATAGACCATTATCTTATTTACCCACATTCTAGACAGTTATAATGCAGAGTGAAGCTCGTTTTTTGTTGTTTTTTTTTGCATCTAGAAATATCACGTGGTACCACTATTGCTAGCCAAAATCGGTCAGGCTGTGGTAGACCTGAAGCTGGAGGTCAAGTGAGAGCTCGTCATCGCACACTGACAATGACATGGCAGGGGATCGATTACACGATCTGACGATTGAAGTGAACGCCCTATACCACTATTCTAAGTGCCTCTAAAGAGCCGTTAAGTGCTGCTAGAAATCACGTCTAGAAATAAGTAGCAACAAAGTCCAAAAATTAGTTGCGACATAGTCTACAAGTTTGTCACGACGTAAGCTAGAAACAAGTAGTGAGAAAATTCAAACATTAGTCGTGGGGGAAGAGATAGTCTTACAGATGAAATCTATTTGTCCACTTTCTCCCTTTCACCATTTTCACATTCTCCATTTTGTGCTCTTATCGTAAGCAAAAAAAACAGAACGTCATGTCATTGAAGTCTTGGCTCTAATTTTGGACGTTTTTGCTTTATTCACAATTAGTTGGTGTTATCTAATATCTTAAAAGTTATCCTAATTTTGAGTCTTATAGTGTTTCTTATCATATATTGCTTTGATTTTTAATTTTAATGTTTTTATAATTATGAAATAGTTTTTTTGGCCCTATAAAAACAATTAAATTTGTTTTAGGTCATCTGGATTAGGCTGGCTTAATTTCAGCATGCTTAGAAGATTCCAATCATTTTTCTCATCCAGACAAATACTACCGCCCCAAAATTTGGAGCTATTTGTGATGCGAAACGAAAAAATGCATAGGAAAAACTTCAAAAACGACTGTCAAATTGACTATAACTGTACAGTTTTCTACCGAAGTCAAATGCATAGCTACAACTTCTCCCGATTTGATGCGATTGCTGTAGTTGGTCGATCTAGTTTTTCTATCCTCGAATCTCACTGGCTTAGCCATCCATGGTACCGAAGTCCGAACCAAATATGGCTGGCTGTAAGTCTGGAATCATCAAACCACCTTGAAACAGTTTCAAAGCATCACAACTTCAACTCGGCTTTTAACTGGACAGGCGCTTTATCACGAAAAGCAACTTTAGAGCGAAGCTATACTAATTTCTATCGACGTTCTGAACCGGTTAGGCTTAGAGACGTTTCGGCTGAATTGGATACTTGGAACAAAACATTGCCATTTTGTTGGATGGTTAGTAATTGCAGAAGTGCACCTTCAGGCCGAATGCAAATTGTTTCAGAATTGATCAAGTATCTTAAATATCCTTTGCATATGTGGGGTAAAGCCGCAAATATTTGTATGTCGAACGATTTAAAAGGAAAAATTATCAATCATGGAGCTGTTCCCAACTCTAAGGGCAATCTTGCCGGCGACTTGCTGCGCCAAGACACAATCAAACAGTGCAAAGTTTACTTTGCTCTTGAGAACTCCATTTGCACAGACTATATTTCGGAAAAGTTCTCAAACGCGCTGATGACCTTTTCTGTCCCGCTAGTTCTTGGGTTTAGGTCCAGTTACGATCGAAAAATGCCAGGGTCTTTCATTCATTTGAACGATTTTAAGAATATTAGTATGCTAGCTGAACATCTGCATGACTTGGTAGAAAGCAAAGATAGACTGTTGAAATATCATGAATGGAGAAAAGAGTTTTATATATCAGACGCAAAGCGCAACGAAAGTTTCGAATGTCAATTTTGCCGAAAGGTGTACGAAGCGAGGTTGAACCAAAAACCCTTAGTAATTCCGGATTTAAAGCAGACTTTTAGAAAGATTCAAACTTGTGCTTAGTTCTTATCTGATAGTTTTTTATTGATAATTAATGAAAGTTCTACGGCGAAGGTAGTTTAATTCTTTTATTCTAAAAGCTTAGCTTTATATTCAGTTTGAGCACCAGCGGATTTAGGGGGATTTAGGAATTCGACCCCCTGCCTACACAAAGGGTCCCCCTTTGTACTATTTTGAGATATCCATTTTTGGTGACGGACCCTAAATCTTTTCTAAAGGCGTCTGGGGCGCCAACATATACTAATATTGAGGGAGTGAGCGCGCGCCGGAAAAAAAAACGCATTTTTTTGTCAAACTTTTCCAAAAATTGCCCAAAAACGCCTTTTTGGACTGCTTTTCAAAATTTTGCCTGCTGCGCAGAAATTCGGTCAAAATGGGGTCTTTATAGTGATTTAGGAGAGCTCAGAAAATCAATTTGGTCGACCTAAAAAAAGGTTGACAAAATTTTCGAAATTTTTTGAGAATCCCCCCCCCCCCTCGAGAAGAGCCTAAATCCGCCCCTGAGTTTGAGTGTATTGTTTTTAAATCTTACGATAAGTTGAAATAAAACACCCGGATAGAGGTGCTGTACTTATGTTTCTACTTTCAAAGTCGAGCAAGTGCAGTTTTGATACTAAATTTTTGCAGTCGAGAAGCAATTTTAAGTCAAGCACAAAGTCGAAACATACCCGATTTTGGTCTAGAAAGTCGAAACACTGGCCGAGAAAGTCGAAACATTTCCAATTTTGGTCGAGAAAGTAGAAAAACATAGATCGAGCACAAAGTCGAAACATACCCGATTTTGGTGGAGAAATCAAAACATAGATGGAGCACAAAGTCGAATCATAACCAATTTCGGTCGAGAAAGTCGAAATATAGGTCGAGCACATTCGAAACATAGGTCGAGCACGGTCGAATCATAAGCCGAAAATGTCACGAGTTTTTGAAGGAGAACCAGAACATTTTGAGCCCGTTTTTCAAAAGTTGTCACAAGTTTTTGAAGGGGAACCAGAACATTTCGAGCTCGTAGTTTGGCGTAGCACGGGGAAGGGGGTAGTAAGGGGGGGGGGCGTAGCGGAGGAGCGTGATTATTGGGGTGTTTGAGTTTGTTCGCGCACGAGTTTTGGAGAGAATTGCATTAAGCAGAATAAAAATCTACAAAAAAATCGAGTATATTGAAAACAAAATTGGATTTTATTCGATCATAATAGATCTGAGGTAGGTAAAACAAATTTTGGATAAATTTTTGCTCATATCTATGCGGCAAAAAAAAAATTAATAAAAAAATTGTTGGTCGAGAAAGTCGAAACATGCCCAAAGTTGAAAAACCGAAATAAGTCGAAATTCGGCCGAGAAATTAAAAAAAAATCTGAACTGGGTATAACAAAGTTGAAACGTTTTTGTTGGGTCGAGAAAGTCAAAACATAGCAAAAGTTGGTCAAAAAAATAGAGAAATGCCGATTTTTGGTCAAAAAATTCGAGACATAAATCAAGCAATTCGACCCGGGATAGATTTTTGGTCAAGTAGCACAGAATGTTCCGACCATAGTTTTAAAAATTACAACATTTTTTTTCAAATTAGTGTCATTTTTCCTGAGTGATGTGATAAAAATATCTGAACAAAAACTTAGAAATTAAACAAATGCGACAATCACAGTCAAAAAGGCCAATTGGAAAAAGTTTTTTTTCTGTAGAAAAACGGCTAGAGAAACGAAAAAAAATTATTAAGACAATTTTTAAAACTTCAAAGTCTTGTTTATAATATCTTAGCAAAACTTTTTGGAATGCTTGAAGTTCTTGATACCCAAAATGCACTTAAAAACTTCAAAAAATTTTTTTGAGTAAAAATTAATTTTCTGGATCTAAATTAGCTCAACTTGTTAGATCGAATTTAGACCAAAAATCAAAAATTTCAAACCCAATTTTTCAAAGTTTTTAATGTTAGTTTAATCACGTCTGAAAAGGCTTTAATATGATATATCAATCGATCTATTTCGATTATTATTTTTTGCGAGGAAAACAAAAAGAACATGTAACAAAAACAAAAACTAAAATACACCAAATACAATAGTCTTCAACGTTTTTCAACCGGTTGGAACTAGAACTCCTGAAAGTAACAACCCCGATCGATATCTATATCGGGTAGATTGCAGCTTACGGGAAAAAAGCAATTTCGAAACCTCTTGCCACCTGCATACCTTCAATAAAAGATCATAGTAATGATAAGCTTTAATTTTGGTCTCATTGCCTCAACAATAAATTAAATTTAATAGAAACTAAACACCGTTGTAGTATATGTTGGGGAAAAATCGTCTGGGGGTGCTGACCCCCATTTATTAAAATAGGCTATAGAGTATTCGGTCAGCACCCTATGCATTAACATAGGTGAAAGATTTCCCATGTACTAAGGTTATAGGCTTCAGAGTTTCAGATGGTAAGATGGTAAGTTCTGAGAAAAACATATTTGGCGGCCGGCTGTGCCGATGCGTATAAATCTAAACGTTTTCCCAATCAAAAACCAAAAAACTTTTAACCCAAACGGGAATTTTCAAAATCTTATGTTTTATGATGTGATAGTTTTTTTGATGGCAAGCTTCAGATAGTAGGTTTCAGAAAAAATTCAAGTTTTCCTGAGTAAAATTTTCATGTTTGTTTTTGATATCAAAATTTTCTCAGACAAAATTTCAAGTTTGCAACAACAGATGTAACCCCCGTGGTTAGTGAGGATGCTGAAGTATGCCAAAAAATTTTTTATTTTTGTTTACTAAAGCAAAGTAGTGGACGTAAACAAAAATTTTCTCATACAATTATGTCAAAACTGCAACACCAAATGTTACCCCACACGGTGAACAGGGACGCCAATTACCGTAAAAAAACTTCTCGAAATATTACTTCTGTTTTTATAAGAGTGATAAATGTTCAGTGTATCAGATGGGGTAAGGTTCGGCAACAACAGAAAAACTTTGAAATTCATTCGCTCAATTTCAAATTTAGAAGTTGGTTGATTTTTTAACTTTTCAATTTCAAATATTGAGTCATCATCTTCATTCACTGCAAAATCGCTTCCTTATTCCTCCTCAAAAATCAATTTACACCAAATGTCTTTGAAAGTTTGCAGCGGCAAAAAAATATTTAAACTGTGAATCTTGAAAATTCGTAGTGTATACATCTTTCCGACATTAAATTCCAAAAAGATTAGTGTTGAATCAAACAAAAATTATCATCCTATTCAGAATTATCATTATAATTATTCACTTTCAGCTTACTTTTTTTTAGTTGATTTTTTTTGCTATCAGAATTCAAAATACAAATTTTCTCCGAGTTTGCCTAGATATTCACTGAGTTCCTCATCTGGATTTTTGCAAACCGTTTGTTTCTTTTCTTAAAAAAGAAAACAAATGAAGAAAAAAATATTTAAAAATGCAAAAAAAAAGAAATTACATTACAATAAAAGTCAAACCATCATTTATAATTTTTTCTATATCAATTTAATTTCACAGAGAAAAAAATTAATGCGTTTTTGCTTCTAATTAACAATAAAATTCAAAATTATAAACATCAAGATTATTATTCAAGTTCTTCTGGTAGAAATTTAAAAAAGAAAAAATTTTGTTTTTTCAAAATTTTCTTTGTATAAACCATACAATTTACCAGTTTTTCGAAGTTACTTTTGAACCATGCGCTGGTATTTTTTTTGAAAAGGAGTAATTGAAACGTTTTCTTACCAAAGAATTGGCAAAGTAATAATTTTTGTCCAATCGAGCAATCATGATCCAGTGTTCTTCTCTATCATTGCTTGGAGCTCAATCATATTTTGCAAAAGAAAATTTTGCTAGTTGAGGAACGCTATCAGAAGGATAAGATCCCATAAACTTGAACCTGAGGTTAGGAGTATGTTCGATATTTTGAAAAAGTGGAAAGTTGTCCATCTATGCAATTGTTTAATGACTTATATTAAAAAACGAAAAAAAAATGATAGTTGATAGTGCAATTTTAGATTAAAAAAATTGGAAAAAAATTCTAAGCTCAAGCTTTCTCCACGTTTTGGATAATGCAACGTTTCAGCTGCATCTTGTAGTGAAGTCAAGTCAAAAACAAGAATACAATGATTCTGAAAAATTTTCCATAGGAAGAACTGGAAAATGGTTTAAACTGCAATGCTTTCATAGTTGTAACATAAAGGCGACAAGGAGAAGTTGAATTTAATGAAACAATTGCTCTCCCAACCCGAATAAATTTAAGTTCTCTCTTAAAAAACGGACTTTTATGAAAAATTCCCCAACGGCTGAACTTGTATTCATTGCAACAGCTATTTTTCTTAGTGAAGCTTGATTGAAAACATTTTCTTGCTTAAACTTGCTTGGACGAGATGGAATGATAAAGTTTTTTGCTATAGTTTCCATATAATTGAAATGAGCAGGTTCTTTTTCCGGATTCAATTGCATGTATTGGTGAATAGGTTCAGCTTAATTTTCTTCTAGTAAACACCAAACAATCAATTATTTTCAGGCTAATGTTTGAATGATCAGACAGCACGTAAATTTAGGTCCAGCTCAAGTTAATTTATTTCGAACTTTATTTTTTGGTGAAAATAATTTTTCACAAGTAATAAAAATCAATGGCAAGCCTCCCAAAGAGTGAAACAGTTATCCCTTTCCGTAGGAAATTGCTTTTTAAGTGAACGAATAATTATCAAATGCTCCCGGAAACTCATCAAAACCATATACAAGACAAGCAAGTGTTCTTTTTTTATTCACTGCCGACGAATGAGTTCGTTCGATATTTGTGCTTTATGATGATATAATCCATTGGCGTTGTAAACACTTGTATGTTTAAAATAAACTTCACAGCTGAAGAACAAAAAATATAGTAGGTTGTTTACATGGTTTAAGTAATTTTGTGGTCCTTCATCTGAGTCATATTCTGAATTTGCTTTATATTTTGTTTTATGTTTTGCTGATTTGGGTAGCACGCGTTCCCATGAAACGATTACGATCCGTCTCAAGTTCAAACTCAATACTGTTTTCATCTAGTGAAGCACTGGGAAATAATTCTTGTGTGTTAGATGATATAAATGTTTCCAAAGCTGGGTTTTTGTCAAAAATATCCAAAAAAGAATTTG